CTGCAGCATCCCCAGCCATGTCCTCTAGCCAATGCCGGCATCCGTCTTCTGGGTTCCGTTCCCTGTGAGCGTCGGTATGTATGGGGGGCGGAACCAGCAGGAATTTCAAAAATGTAAAAATTTAGCAAATTAGAACCACTTGCAGAACTGAACGATAATGATTCGTGGGGAAATGCATCATCAGACACTGAAAACGATTTTGCGACTAAGCTCAGTGATGTGCGAACTTGGCGCTATATTTCAAATTTCAGTGTTTTTGGTTTGAGAACATTATTGAATTAAATTTATTATTATTATTTATTATTATTTTTTATGATTATTTATTATATTATATTTTATAATTTAGTGTTTCAAATTTTATCATACCCGGATGTTTATAGATTCTTGTTTGGACAGTTTTCAGTTAGTTATTCCTAAGAATTACAGGCTTACAATAAAAAAAAACAACATATTCCATTGAAAACAATGTACCGCTTTGAGCACAGAAATACTGACATAATCAGACCACCAGGAAGGTTAAGGATGTGCAACACCCATTATACACATGGTATACAGAGACCACTGTGACTAGGACTTTAGATCACATGAGGGAACTCTGGGCAATGATTTTTATTCATTGCAAGAAAGAGTACTTTTTTATTTAAAAATAATACAGTGATTTGGTAATGCTGACATGCTTATAAAATATATCATTTTTACATTTGTGTAAATTAAAAATGTATATGAAAAAGCATGCAAAACCTGCCAGCCTACTTTGAATTTGAGATGTCAAAGGCAGAACATCTCTAAGATAAACAAATTAATCTTAAATAATACACAATTTATTAATAATCATTCAGGGGTTTATTTACCAATATTTTCACCCAAGGTTCACACCTCTTTCACCACGGATACATCCAGTTTTTTACAAAATGTTCTGTTTCAAATGCCGTGTTATGCACTGACATACATCCTTAGGCCCAGTCTTTCCAGACAATATAGTCACCTGCTGGTTTAACCTTATTCACAGGCAGGTTAACTCTTCAATAAGACATAGAAGTTGAATCCAACACAATGTTACTTCAGCTTTTCCAGTCTTTGAGATGCAAGAAAACAATGACTTTCCTAAGCAATAACTCTGTGAAGTACTAACTTTGACTAAGGAAACAGTGAAGGTCTAGCTAGACTGAACTAACTCGCAGTAAACAATAGGGGATGACAGATGGTGATACCAAATCACATAAGTAAACAAGTTTTAGTGACTCTAAAGTACCACTAGATGTCAGCATGCTACAGAACAATAGTAACCTGATGTAGTTTAAATATAACACAGAAGAAAATACATTTAAGTGAAACAGAACACATAAGGTTCTCTAAAAGTAATAAAATGTTGTGTGAATCTTGTGAATGGGTGAAAACATTGATAAAGTTTTTTTCTTGTAATAATGTCAACATATAGTATGTCTTGTTGATGTATGTAAAGTGTGAATTTTATGCCTGCAGTATTATAGATTGTCTATGCCTAATGAACCCTTTCATTTTTAATGTATACCGTTTTGGTGGAACAAACAAAGCTTTCTCTTGGTTGTACTGTTTATATCAAATGTATTTTAACCGCTTTAGGACCACTCTATAGCAGATATACTGCTACAGGGTGGCACCTGTGCAAAGGATTACATATATATACGTCACTCTGCATTTCCGGGTAGGGGGCGTGCGAGAGCCATGCGCGCACCCTACCCACGCCATTGTTCGCGGCCGCGGATGTCAATCACCGGGTCCTGCCAGTGCCTGGTGATTACTGAACATCTCCGACGAGGAGGAAGATTGTTTTGTTTACAAACAATCTTCCTCCCTGTCAGCTCAAGCACACTGCTCAGAATGGCTGTGCACAGTACAGCCATTCCGATCAGTGTGCTTGCAGTGAAGAACAAAACCCCCCCCCCCCGCCCCCTAGTAAAACACTCCCAGCACACAGTTAACCCATTGATTGCTCCTCACATTAACCCCTTCTGTCGCAGTGTCATTAGTATAGTATCAGTGCTTTTTTTTAGCACTGATCACTGTATTGGTGTCACTGGGGTGTCAAGTTCGTTCCCCCCCCAGTGTCAGAATGTCTGCCGCAGTCCCACAGTCCTGCTAAAAGTAGATGATCGCCGCCATTACTAGTAGAAAAAAAAAATCCCATAATCTATACCGCCATTTGTAAACGCTATAACTTTCATGTAAACCAATAAATTTACACGTTTTGGGATTTTTTTTTTAGCAAAGACATGTCGCTGAATACATTTTGGCCTAAATTTATGATGAAATTAGATTTTTTAAATTTTTATACTGGACATGTTTAATAGCAAAAAGTCCAAAATACTGCTTTTTTCTCACAATCGTCGGTCTTTTTTTGCTTATAGCGCAAAAAAATAAAAAACGCACAGGCTATCAATTATCACCAAAAGAAAGCTCAATTTGTGTGAAAAAAGGACTAAATTTCACTTGAGTGCAGCATTGCATGACTGCGCAATTGTCAGTTAAAGTAACGCAGCTCCGTAATGCAAAAAATGGTCTGATCATGAAGGGGGGGAAATCCTCAGGAGGGCAAGTGGTTAAATGCAGAAGTAAAACATAGACTGTAAATATGTTTTCTAGATTTGACCAGGATAGTTTAACCCCTTCACGCCTAAGGGTAAATCAAATCTTGACGCCTAAGCACAATTTTGCAACTTTGACATGTGTTAGTAAAACCATACATATCATCACAACTACTTTGTACATCCAGGTGAATTATACCTTGTTTTTTTTCAGGACAAATTGGGCTTTCATTTGGTGGTAAATGGTAATGGATATCTCCTGATTTTGTTTTATTATCTAAAGGAAAACTGGCCCAAAATAGTAAAAAAAAATATATTTTTTTTTAATTTAACTGTGTGTTTCTTGTTACTACCATAACCTACCACCAAAGAACAACCCAAAATAAATTTTACAGCTCTTGACAATCGCAGCGATACCATATATGTGTATGTTATTTATTGTTTGTATTCACAGTACAGCTCAGAAACAATAGTACGCATTTTGGGGGTTTTTTTTGTTTGTTTCTTTTTTACCTAACACACACTGGAACTAACTGACACTGATGCCAATTAAAAAAAAAAAAAAATCCTGACCTTTGACCCTGACCTTGACCCAAACACTAACCCTGACACTAAACTAGATCAAACCTTGTTCTAGGTTTTTTATCTTTATTTTTTCTTTGATTTTATAATATCTATTAATGTATCTTTTTTTTAACAAACAGTTGGGTTTTCTCTATGCAAAGAGAGAAAGAGATACAAAAAAACAAGGGGAGTGGGCTGTACAGTGACTGATCACTGTGATAGCCAATCAGAGGCTATCACAGCCATCATGTGACCCGAAATTGGGAGTCCCAGGTCCCAATCGCTAGAACGGGACCCAGAGTTCTCAGCGACACCCCGGTCTTTGTGCAGGTGGCGTACTCCCAGCACAAAGACAGCTAAGCAAATATGCAGCCCCACGGAAAAAAGCTCAGTTCTGTGAGGCCACATATTTGTGTTACGTCGGTGTGAAGGGGGTTAAACAACTATGAGTATATTTAGTCTTTCACAGTTGTACAGGATTCTCTCCTTTACTTAAATGTCTTACTCTGATCTCACCACACACTGTAAGCTCTTCACAGTGAGCAATAAACCTGTGGCAAATCAAACAGCACCTGCCTCATTTCTTGGCTGAAGGGCTTCAACTAGTGATTGGGCGAACATCTCCCTGTTCAGTTCGCAGTCGAACATTCGAACCTAATGAAAGTTTGACCGTGAACTTCGATTAGAGGGGACAATGTACTAAGCGATATCTTACCGCATTTAAGTATGCGGTAAGACAATGCACAGCTACTAAAAACATTCTTTAATGTTTCAGCTGTCAGCGGGGTTCCCGACATTGCCGGGCAATTAAAAAAAACATGTGGGGTCCTTTGGGTCTGGTATGGATTTTGAGGGGAACCCCCATGCCAACATCAAACCCTTATCTGAGCATGGATCCCGGTAGGTCAGGAAAGGGGGGGATGAGCAGACGCCCCACTCCCCCTCCTGAACCATACCAGGCCACATGCTCTCAACATGGGGGGCTGCTTTGGGTCAGGGGGCTCCCCCCAAAGCACCTTGTCCCCATGTTGATGGGGACAAGGGCCTCTTCCCCACAATCATGGCTGGTGGTTGTAGGATTCTGCGGGCAGGGGGCTTATCAGGATTTGGAAGCCCCCTTTAACAAGAGGGCCCCCATATCCCAACCCCCATGTTAATGAGTATGGGTACTACTCATTCAAAAAAAAAATGTAGTGTAAAAAATGATAGTAGACAGTCTTTGAAAAGTCATTTATTAAAAACAAAATTAAAAAAAGTCCCCCAAGTAGATCCAACATTAATCACGATGCCCGCAACCACCCCCGAGCCGAAAAAAAGAAAAAAAAAAAGCTCTGCTCTTAACGCTGACTCCCGCCGTCTGTCAGGCACACCGAGATGACAATTTTTAAATACTATGTGACCTCATCATGCGCTGTGATTGGCCAAAGCATTGCACCTGACCTGTGCCCTCCAGAGGATTTACCCCCCTTCCTGACCAGGCCATTTTTTGCATTACGGCGCTGCATTACTTTAACTGATAATTGCGCGGTCATGCAATGCTGCACTCAAGTGAAATTTATGTCCTTTTTCCCCCACAAATAGAGCCTTATTTCAGTGGTATTTGATCGCTTCTGCATTTTTAATTTGTTTGCGCTATAAACAAAAAAATACTGACAATTTTGAAAAAAAAAATATTTTTGACTTTTTGCTATAAAACATACTCAGTAAAAAAATTTAAAAAATCAAATTTCATAATAAATTTAGGCCAAAATGTATTCTGCTACTTGTCATTGCTAAAAAAATCACAATATATGTAAATTAATTGGTTTACATGAAAGTTATAGCATCTACAAATGGCGGTATAGATATTGGAATTTTTTATTTTTATATTAGTAATGGCGGCAATCAGCGAGTTATAGTGGGACTGCGGCGGGCAATCTTACACTGGGGGAAACTAACTGCCATTGTCATCCCCAGCTAATAAAAAGCACTGATACTGTACTAATGGCACTGGACAGGAAGGGGTTACCATCTGGGGCAATCAAAGGGTTAACTGTGTGCTGTGTGTGTTTCACATTATGTGCTGTGATTGTTTTATTATGTAAGCATGCTGCTTTGTATTGTTATGCCATGCACAGCAATACAAAGCAGCATGCTGATGCTGACAGGGGAGAGATCTGTATTGTTTACATACAGACCTCTTCCCTGTCAGTGTTCCTTGGCGATCCTTGGTGGGGAATCTCCGGCCGGGACCCGGTGATCGGCAGCTGTAGCCACCAATGGCAGCGCGCATAGGGTGGTGCGCATGCACTGCCTACCCAGAAATGCAAAATCACGTATATATACGTGATTTTGGGCAGCACTGCTGCCCTGTAGCAGTAATTCTGCTATAGGGTGGTTGGAAAGCAGTTAAACTGTAAAAGTATGCCAACTCACTAAGTCAGGGCGGTCCCTGCAGCAGATGTATTAATACAGAAGAAAAAAGGTGACTGGAATACCAGTCAAAGGGGAACCTGCTTTCACAGGACACTTGTGTATCAAAACATCTAAGTTATATTAAGTAAATACAAAATATCTTTATAAATGTCAAATATTGAATGAAAATAATATAAAAATCACACACATATATAAATCCCTTTCTTCTACAACGTTGTCTTTTGTATTGGTGGAAGAAGGGTATTTATATATGTGTTTGATTTTGTTAAACAATTTTTATAAAGATATTTTGTATTTACTTAAAGTATAACTAAAGGAAAATGTTTGTTTTTTAGTTTTGGATAGGGTGGAGAGGTATTAGAACACCTATTAGGTTTTTACTACTGTCTATTATTATTATTATTATACAGTATTTATAAAGCGCCAATAGTTCACTCAGCACTGTACATTACAGAGGGGGACAGAACATGTGACAGAACAGTACCAATACAATGCAAAACATGAGGGGATTGAGGGCCCTGCTCTTTCGAGCTTACAATCTAGGGAGATTCATCCTCACTATCTGTCCTGGTTACCATTATTATTGAATGAAATATTTTAAAAAAATCCCACATTTTGGGTTGTCCCCAGAAAAGTAATAGAAGGGGAATCCAATGGGTTCACTTGTTCTGTGGACCTGGAGATCTCCAAGGGATCCCCTTACAGTAATTTGAAGGGATTTCCTCTCACTTCCTCTTTTGGCTATGGGACAGGAAGTGAAGGTAAATCTCCCCATCTGGGCACAGATGGCAAAAAAGTTATAGGGGTTATAACCCACTATTACTCTATTCAAAATTAAAAAAGAAAGCTTTGCCTTTAGTTACACTTTCAAGCAGCCTTTATCAACCTTTTCAACACAGAGACAACTCTTGAAATAACGTTCCATCTCAGGGAACCCCTTCTAAAAGTTACTTTATCATGATACATCATGATACATCAATGTGATGGTCATTGGGAAGAATTACCCCCTTTATAGATAGCTAAAAAGATCAATGATGTCAGTGGGAACTTGTCAGTGAGAAGATATCTCTAAAAATATTGTAAAAAAGTAAAGTATCCCCATTACATAAGACATTTATTCTAACAAGGGATTAGCCCATTGAGATATGCATGTACATTGTATTACGTTTGGAGTAATTGGGAGGTTTTTGCAGCAAATTATGTATATGTTTGTATATACACAAAAAATCTCTGAAAATCTGGCACAATGACAGGAGAAAATAGATAGATTTGATTACATGTAATGGGTGGATTTACTTAAAGTATTGGGATGGATTTAGTAAAAGCACAGGGACTAAGCACTTTGCAAGTGAAGTTGCGGCAGAGCTTAGTAAATGAACGCTGCTGACTTCCATCATCCAATCATGTGCAACAAAACTGCTGTGTGTTTTTTTTTCCTTGCATGAGATTGGATAATTTTTTGGGAGATTTTTTTAATTTTGGATAGGGTAATGAAGAGTTATAACTCCTGTAAGTTTTTTATAATTCTTTTTCCATCTGTGTCCCATTGGGGAAATTTAGCTTCACTTCCAGGACCATAGCCAAAACAAGAAGTGACAGGCAATCCCTACAAATTAAAGGAATCCCTTGGGGCCCCCCAGGTCACCAGTCACCAGAACCGGTGTCCTTATTGGAAGATTAAACCTCTATTACTGTTCTGGAGACAACCAAAAATTTGGGATTTTTTTTTTTATTTCACTGATAACGGTAAACAGGACACATAGAGAGGTTTTATCTCCCTAATGGGTACAGACAACAATAAAAACCTGAAATGTGTTCTATTCTACCTCCACTCTATCCAAAACAAAGAAACAAAACATTTCCTTTAGTTATACGATAAGTAAATCAACCCTAACGATTTCCATATTTAAGTTTCTGTGATCCAAAAAGGTAGAGACTACTCCAAATTGGCTATTATATGTTTACATTCCTTAAATACCGCATGCCTGGACTACTACTTAACCATTTGCCGCCCGCCCTATGGCTGAAATGTCATCAGCATTCCGGGTGGACGCCATATGGCGTCCTCCTGCACATGTGCAGATTGCGCTCCTGCAGAGCGGCGCAGCGGCGCGATCTGTCACCGGCCGTGTACTTCGGACGCGGCCGATGACAGATCTGAGTATCAGCCCCGTTGCCGGTATTATGAGACCTGCTGTGACCAATCACAGCAGGTCACATGACAGTTGTATACAATGGATGGCTTCATTCATGATGCCATCCATTGTATACTAGTGCCTAGCTGTGAATGGTCACAGCTAATCACATGCACATGTCATGTGATTAGCTGTGGCCAAATCACAGCTAAGCACAAAAAAAAAAAACAAAAAAAAAAAAAACCATGAATGAATCGATGTCATTTAGGTAAATGCTTGCTTATAGCAAAGTAATTCTTTGCTATAAGCAAATTGTGTAAAAAAAAAAAAAAATACTGATCACTTCCCCAAAGTAGTACAATATTACTATGGTAACATTGTACCAATTTGGTAATAGTGAAATATGAAAAAAAAATCTTAAAAAAAAGAAAAAAAATTATATAAAAAAAAAAATAAAAAAAATGAAAAAAAATTATATAATTTTTTTTTTTTTTTTCATACTATCACCAGTCAGTGTCCCTGATCACCGCCATGCCACTTATATGATGACGCTGTACTGCACTGGTGACAATATGTAAAAGAAAATAGAGAAACAAATTTTTTAAATTTTTTCATTTTCCGAAAAATTATGACAAAAAAAATACAACTTCAAAAAACTCGCCATGCCTCTTTGAAGTACGTCAGACTGTCTACTTTGCAAAAACGGGTAATTTGGGGGATATCTGTACTGTTCTGACATTCTTGGACCTCAAGAAATTAGATTGGCTGTCAGTACTTCAGGATTGATCAATATTCAGATCTATACCATAGTTTGTGAACTCTATAACTTTCCCACAAACTAAAAAATACATCCTAATTTGTGTTATTTTCACCAAAGACATGTAGCAGAATACATCTTGGCCTAAATTTATGAAGAATAATTATTTATTTGCAAACTTTTATAACAGAAACAAAGAAAACTTTTTTCAAAATTTTTGGTCTTTTTTTGTTAATTTAGCAAAAAATAAAAACCCCAGCGGTGATTAAATACCACCAAAAGAAAGCTCTAGTTGTGTGAAGAAAATGATAAAATTTTAGTTTGGGTACAGTGTTGTATGACCGCGCAATTGTCATTCAAAGTGTGAGAGCGCTGAAACCTGAAAAATGGCCTGGGCAGGAAGGTGTAAAATTGCCCGGTATTGAATTGGTTAATTACCGCATTTATTTATTTATTTCTGTGAATTGACTTTAACCCCTTTTTATGCAGTATTTACTGAGAGTTTTGTGGTAAATACTGCAAAACGATATAGTGAATTGACAGCTTCAGGATCGCATGCAATATTTAGGGAAAATGTGTCATATCACCTAAATACTGTATGCAATCTGCTTTCGTGAATAGAGCCCATTTTCTCTTATATCCCAGTGAGAAACACCTGTCTGACACCCATCTCCTGATCAGTAAGTGAATAGATGTCTCCCCAATTGGCACAGCCAACAGAAGTTGTAATCCTTTTCTATCTTTTCTGTTTGTCCTGTCTGACACCTAACAAGCAAATGAAGAGTAAACTCACAAAAGGAGACACAGCGATAAAAATCTGACTGTTCTGCCCATCTTTCATTTATTTTTTATATCTTGTTTGAACTGCATTAGGTTCTCATATTTTTGTAGTATGCTAACATCTACTGGCGCTTTTGTGCCACTACAACTTATTTACTAATGCAATTTTGGTATCTTCCTCTTTCCTCCCCTCCTGTTTAATGTTAGTTAGTTGAGTCCTAGCTAGACCCTCACTCCCATGTTCCCTCAGTTAGTGTTAGTTATTTACAGAGACAGGGCTTAGGAAAGTCATTTTGCTCACCAAATGTACTGTGCTAAGCAACAAAACGTGTTTGTATTAACGGCTTCCCGACTGCCCTATAGCAGAGAAATACTGCTACAGGGCAGCACGAGTGAGCAAAATCACGTATATATATGTGATTTCACATTTCCTTGTAGAGGGCGTGTGCACGCCTCATGCCATTCGTGGCTGAGGCTGTCAATCACCGGGTTCCAGGCGGTGGTTACTCGCCGGCGCCCGGTGATTACCGAGGATCTCTGATGGGGAGGAGAACGGTTTTGTTTACTAACAGTTCTCCTCCCTGTCAGCTCAGGCACACTGCTTTGGATGTCTGTGCACAGTGAAGCACACAGACACCGCCCCATAGTAAAACACACCAAGCACACAGTTAACCCTTTGATCTCCCCTCATGTTAACCCCTTCCTGCCCAGTGCCATTAGTATAATGTTGGTGCTTTTTTAGCACTGATCATTGTATTGGTGTCGCTGGGGATGTCAGTGACACCAAGTCAGTTCCCCCCAATGTCAGAATGTCTGCTGCAGTCCCGCAGCCCTGCTATAAGTCGCTGATCGCCACCATTGCTAGTAAAAATAAAAAAATCTCAGTATATATACCGCCATTTGTAAACGCTATAACTTTCATGTAAACCAATTAATTTACACATATTGTGATTTGTTTTGGCGAAGACATGTAGAAGAATACATTTTGGCCTAAATTTATGATGAAATTAGATTTTGAAAATTTTTTTTACTGGACATGTTTAATAGCAAAAAGTCAGCAATATTGTTTTTTTTTCTCAAAATTGTCGATCTTTTTTTTTTTGTATAGTACAAAAAATAAAAAACGCACAGGTGATCAAATACCACCGAAAGAAAGCTCAATTCGTGGGAAAAAAAGGATGTAAATTTAATTTGGGTACAGCATTGCATGACCGCACAATTGTTAGTTAAAGTAACGCAGTGCCATATCGCAGAAATTGACCTGGTCAGGAAGGGGGATACATCCTCTGGAGGGCAAGTGGTTAATATTTATTGTATAAGGTTTGTAACTTTTAGTGCTGCAGCTATATATCATTTTATTGTTTGCTAGTTTCAGGTGAGTGCAGAGATTTTGAGTATTTAGGACAGTCATTGTCTTCTTACACTTCAAAAGACTGGAAAACATCCTCAGTGCTGCAATAGCTGAAGTAAAATGATGCAGCATTCAATATCTGTGTCTCATTGAAGAGATTAACTGCCGGCAGATGGTGCCAAGTTAGCAGGTGACCATACTGTCTGGACAGATTGGGGTAGATTTACTAAAAGTGGTGCACTCGGAATTTGGTGCAGTTGTGCATGGCAGCCAATCAGCTTCTAGCCTCAGCTTGTTCAATTAAGCTTAGGCAATACAACCTGGAAGCTGATTGGTTTCTATGCAGAAGTGAGCCTGATTTTGCACTCTCCAGCTTTAGTAAATAAACCCCATTGGGTCTAAGAAGGTAGGTATATGAATAAAGTGACATTTGAAGCAGAAAGAAAGAGGTTCTAACTCTTCCCTATTATCACAAAAATAGGGAGAGAAGGAGTTGGCTACGGTTTTTTCTGTAATAGAATAATAATAGCAAAACATGTAGTTTCATGTTAAATATTTCATCTAATTATAGCCACACTGATGTTCATAAATGTAGACAAAACTATAAGCAAATCGAAGTCTTCATGAAGAGTTTTCACATCCAGTTTCTATAAAAAATTCAAAGTAACTGCAGGTTATTATAGTAGTAAATATCTATTAGAAGTGACATATTCAGAATGTTTCTGCCATCTTCTGCCTTTTAAAATGATCATTGATTTTGCTAGGATGTTAATGTTCCTCATGCAACTCCTCCAGGATTCAGGATTGGAAACTTTTCTACATAAGCCAACTTTTTCTATTTTAACCCAGTATCTTTAGAAATGCTAATGGGTTCTGCTTAGTGAAAGCACTGCTAATGAGAAGTGATTAGAGCTTGCCTCTGCTATATATCCACACAATGAGCATCTTGGCATCCTACATGAGCCGCCCTCCAATACACGTTAATATTATGTGATACAGACTTTTTTGTTTTTCTGTATAGGCATACATTTATACACATAAGCAAGCAAAGCATGAACAATCTGATTTTTAAAGAAGATATTTTGAAAGGTTAATACTGCTCGCAGTCTGGCCAGCTTTCCAAACTGTGTTGGCCTAATTATCCTGGCACCAAATGCCAAAGCATAAACTTCGAACTATCAAGTGCCAACAAAAATACAATTTGTTACACTAGATTTGCTGACAGTGTTTCATAACTTCCAGAGTTCCAGTAAAACCCCTGCCTGTGGGATTAGAGGATGATCTTGTTATCTTCTCAGTCTTCGCAAACAACAGTGGTGTAACTTCAAGCAAACAGGACAAACCAACAGGTCAGAGACCAGTGAGCCACACAGTAGACTGAAAACGTGTGTACTAGAGAGCTGAGATGAGAGCACTGCTGCTCCCAGCAATCCTGCTGCTGGGGGCAATTGATTCCACCCTGTCTGCTGAAGGTAGGTACCCATTGGGATTTATAGGCTTACTGGATTTATAGACTGGACATAGACAGCATTCTCTTTGTGGGCCAGAATAATAAAAAAATATTTGTAAAGGGAAGGAAATGTAGACAGTACTAAAGTATAACTAAAGGCAAAACTTTTTTTTTTTCATTTTGGATAGAATGGAGAGGGATTAGAATGCTTGTCAGTTTTTTATTGCTGTCTCTGCCCTTAATGACTTGCCCTCCTGAAGATATTACTCCCTTCCTGACCAGGCCACTTTTTGCTATATGTTACTTAAACTGACAAATGCGCGGTCATGCAACGCTGTACCTGAATGAAATTTATATAATTTCACATACACCTCTGGGTTTTTGTATTTTTTTGCGATATATACATATATATATATATATATATAAAATATACACACACAAATATACAGTATATAATATACACACACATATGTATATATATATTTATTTATTTTATATATATATATATATATATGAAAAAATTTTGAAAAAAAAAACAATATTTTTTACTTTCTGTTATAAAACATATCCAATAAAAAAAAATGTATAAAAAAAATCTCTTAATACATTTTGGCCAAAAATGTATTCTGCTACATGTCTTTGGTAAAAAAAATTAATTCCAATAAATGTATATTGGTTCATTTGTGTGAAAGCTATAGCGTCTACAGACTATGAGATATACACTGGAATTTTTATGTATTTATTTATTTTAATACTACTAATGGCGGCAATCAGCGACTTATAACAGGACTGAGATAGTGCGATCTGACGCTAGGGAGAAATAACTAACTGCCTCTGACATCACCAGTGAAACTATTTCTGTGATCAGTTCTAAAATATGCACTGTCACTGTACTAATGATACTGGGCAGGACGGGGTTAATGTCTAGGTGTTACCAAGGGGTTACTTGATGCCTACAAAGTATTTATGTGTCTAATGTATGCTGCTTTTACTGGGGATGTTGTTGTTTCCATTACCTGCTTAGCAGAGAATGAAAAAAACAACTCCATGCCCTATGACTGAACACAGCTCTGTGTTGTTTACTTTCACAGAGCTGTGTTCCGTGAAACACAGAGACGAATCACAGTACATCTGGGCTCACAGGTGGGAATGTGTGCCCCGTGCTTGGATGTACAGATCCCATACCAGATACATGATCTGGCACACAACAGCCGCTTTTTCCCCTAAACAAGTATAGGGTGCGGTCGGCAAGTGGTAAAGGAGATACATCCTCTCTATTTGTCCTGTTTACCAATATCATTGAAAGTGGAAGTAAAAGAAATCCCAAATGTTGTATTGTTCCCAGAAATAGTAATAGAGGGGACATTTTCCAATGGGGACACTAGCTCTGGTGACCTGGGGGTCTCTAGGAATTCCCTCACTTTGCAGGAATTTCCTCTCACTTCCTGGTTGGCTGTGGGACAGGAAGTGAAGGAAAATCCATGTAATGGGACACAGAATGCGAAAAAAAATCTGACAGGGGTTATAACCCTTCCTTGCTCTATCCAAAATGAAAAAAAAAAAAGTTTTGCCTATAGTTCAACTTACCCTCCAGAAGATTTACCTCCCTTCCTGACCAGGCCATTTTTTTTGCGATACGGTGCTGCGTTACTTTAACTGACAATTGCGCAGTCATGCAACGCTGCACCCAAATGAAATTCACGTCACACAAATAGAGCTTTCTTTCAGTGGCATTTGATCGCCTGTGCGGTTTTTATTTTTTGCTCTATAAAGAAAAAAAGGTCGACAATTAAAAAAAAAACAAAAAACAATATTTTTTGCTAGTAAACATGTCCAGGAAAAAAATTTTAAAAATCAAATTTCGTCATAAATTTAGGCCAAAATGTATTCTGTAAATTAATTTGGTTTGTGTGAAAGTTATAGCGTTTACAAATTTTAATGGAATTTTTTTTTTTTGTACTAGTAATGGTGGCAATCAGTGACTTATAACGGAACTGAGGGACTGTGGGCATTCTGACACTGGGGGGGGAAACTGACTTGGTGTCACTGACATCCCCAGTGACACCAATACAGCGATCAGTGCTAATAAAAAGCACTGACACTGTGCTAATGGGCAGGAAGGGGTTAACAGCAGGGGCAATCAAAGCTGTGTGCTGTTTTACTGTGTGCTGTGTGTGTGCTTTACACTATAAGCACACTGTGCTCAGGGAGGGTGATCGTCACGGTGGGGGGCAATTACTGGAACCGATCCCTTATATGGCTCTCTCTGCAGGAGCTGAAAGCTGGCTTCCTCTCTCCCTCCTGCCAGTTTTTCAGCTGCTGTAGAGAGAGCCATACAGGAGATTGGTTCCAGTAATTGCCCCCACCCCCCGCTGCACCCATCACCCTCCCTTTGCGTTCTCCCCTGCTGCCCAGGCTGCAAAAACACAATAGGATCCTTCAGGATGGAGAATGGGGGAAGGGTCCGGTAAATTTGTCATATTTACCAGCCCCTTCTTTTCCTGACTGAACACAATGAGGGATCAGTTCCGATCGCTCACTGTGTTCATTCATAACTGAAGCCTAGTAAACTGTGTTTTTTTGTGGGGAAGAGGGCCTGTCAGGTTGGCTGTGTGGGGCCCCGAGGTTTCTAACAGCAGCCCTGCTCCTTATATTAACAGGAATATATGAAAGATTACAAATCAGTGGATTATAGGGGTGTAGTTGTTGTTCAAAGGCTTGGTAAAATGAGAGCGCTCATATAATTCTCCCTACTGAAAGGTATGCATCTATAAAATTCCCGTATTCCTTACTAAAATTTCTACATCTGTACAACTCCCATCATCCTCACTGCAACCTGAACAGCTATATGGTGCTCTGCTGTTTCCTGTTCTGAGTTCAGACACCCATGGACTGTAACTTGTTCTCTCTGTAGGGTTCAATGGACCCTGTGTTATGTTTTCTCTTTTACTGCAAACAGAAATGGTGCAAGAGCAAATAATCCTTCACTAATCGTTGAAGCCAGGTCTGTTTCAGTGGGAATGAAATGGTACACAGTTCCAGGACCTCCAGCATGGAATTATTTACAGACATGAGCTGCTTGGGCATGCTTTAGGGTCTATTGCTTCTGGCTGTTGGGAGATCTACTTTCACTGGTAGATCTGGGGGGTGCATTGTTTCTTGGGGAAGGTCTGTTTTTTTCTGGTGGGGGAATCTATTGTTGCTGGGGGGTCTGCTGTTGCAGGGGGAAGTGGGTCTATTGAAGCTGGCTGTTGAGGGATCTACTGTTGGTGCTGGGTCATCTATTGTTACTGGTGGAAGTATTTTGTTGCTTGGAGGGTCTGTTGTTGCTGGAAGGGATTAGGGGAGGTGTATTGCTGCTGGCTACTGGAGAGACCATTGATGGTGGCTGCTGGGGGAATCTATTGTTGCTGGTGGGGGTATTTTGTTGCATGGAGGGTCTGTTGTTGCTGGAAGGGATCTACTGTTTTTTAGGGGAGGTGTATTGCTGCTGGCTACCAGAGAGACCATTGATGGTGGCTGCTGGGGGAATCTATTGTTGCTGGTGGGGGTATTTTTTTGCTGGGGGTGGTCTATTGTTGATGAGGAGGATCTGTTGTTGAAGGGGGGTCAATGGGACGGAGGGTAGGGGGCAGGGACAAGGAACATTGCTTGGAGGTGGATTGGGGGCAGGGACAATGGCTGACTCAATGGTTGCACCTATTCTCTGCTTAAAGCAATCCTTTATCTCCTCTATGCTTCTAAAATAATTTGGAATATGTATTGTGTACAAGATTGATATATCCTGTTACTGTATACTGTAGCCATATTCACCTCTTTCTTGCTAGTCTCCTGATACCTGACCATCCTCACACTGGGCACTGCCCTCTTGCCATCCAAACAACATCAGGATATAGGGAAGGCTACTGACCATTGTGCCCCAGCACTGGACTTTCTTTTCCTGATCCTGGAGCTGGTGATGTGACGTCTCCCGCTGGCAGCACTGATGCGACTTGTCGGGGGCGCTGGACATGTTATACATTGTATAAGTAGCTGCAGGAACATAATAACACATGGCAGATTACTTGGGTACTTTGGGCCCTGTACTCTTTTAATTTGGGGGTCCTCTGCTATGTAAATTGGACAGATATACTGTATATACTGTATAAAAATATGTCTATTTTTTGCTAAGGAGGTAAATATAACAAAGACTGATTAGTAATTTTGTTTTCTTCAAAATGTTTAAAATGTGAAGTGGAAACATTTTTAAAACAAGAAGTGGGAAAAAAAACAGGAAACACTTCCCCTTTGTATAAATCTCAACAGCATATTTGCTACACCTTGTATTACAACAGGGCAAAACTGTGTGTACTAGTCAGGAGAGCATTGCACGCCAGCTCACTCATGACATATGGAGGGTGGAGCAGCATATACAAGGTCCAACGCTCAATGGAAACCTGGATCAGCCAATCAGATGCTGTACTGAAAGTATGACTTTCAAACTGCAGAGAAAAGGGCTGGGAAACATGATGCCAATGTAACAAACCACAACCACAATGTTTACTAAATAGCATTTGCAGACCACTGATTGGTTGTCTATGTTGCCTGACTTAGCTCCTTAACTATTTGCCCTCCTGAGGATTTTACCCCCCTTCCTGACCAGGCTATTTTTTGCGCTACGGCACTACGTTTCTTGACAATTGTGCAGTCATGCAACGCTATACATAAATGAAATTTTAGTGGTCTTTGAGCACCTGTGCGTTTTTAATTTTTTTGGCTATAAACAAAAAAAGACTGACAATTTTGTAAAAAGAACTATATTTTTTACTTTTTGCTATAAAACATATCCAGTAAAAAATGTAAAAAAAAAAAACGAATTTCTTAATTAATGTAGGCCAAAATGTATTCTGATACATGTCTTTGCTAATAAAAAAAATACCAATACATGTAAATTAATTGGTTTCCATGAAAGTTATAGCGTCTACAAATGGTGGTATACTAGTAATGGCGGCGATCAGCGACTTATAGCAGGACTGCGGGACTGTGGCAGGCATTCTGACATTGGGGGGAACTGACTAACTGCCACTGACATCCCAATGACACTAATAAAGCGATCAGTGCTAATAAAAAGCACTGACACTGTACTAATGACACTGGGCAGGAAGGGGTTAACATCTGAGGTGATCAAAGGGTTAACTGTGTGCTGTTTTTACATGATGTGCTGTGTGTTTTTTACTAGGGAAACAAGCTGCTGTGTATTTCTTTGCTGTGCAGAGAAATACACAGCAGCATGTCCTTGATGGCAGGAGAGAGACCTGTGTTGTTTACACCCTGGTCTCTCCCCTGCCAGTTTTACTCAGCAATCACCGGGTGCTGGCAGGGAATCTCTGGCCAGGACCTGGTGACTGACATTCGTAGCTGCCAATGGCAGCTACCCAGAAATGTGGATCATGTATATATATGTGATTCTATGCAGTACTTCTACTATAGGTTGGTGGGCAAGCGGTTAAAGTGTATCAATGGTCACACTGTAAAATTATATATTATTTTCCACATTGTATTTCAGTTATAGCTATTAATTTGAACAAGCTTACTTTGTAAAGATTCCCAGACATTCCTTACATTTTGTGATAGTATTTACTATGTCCTGTAAGCACTGTGGTGTCACACAATTCACAGAGCATGCCTTCTGACCTACAGAGGTACTGAGAGGAGGAGATTCAGGAGGCGGAGTCAGTACAGGAATCACTGCTTGCAGGCAGCAAGGTACCATGGGATATGTAGTCCTTAGGAACTGAAAGTAAACAACAGAGGAGAAGCTGAAGAGCATATAGAGAATCCAGGAAGTCATGGAAAGGAATGGCCAGCAGACAGGCAGAACCCACAACATGAAAGGAAATTTTTCTAGTAAGCTTACACTCACACCGGCCACTTTATTGGGTACACACCGTGCTAGTGCCAAGACAATATCCCCCACACCACCATCCTGAAGCACTGATACAAGGCAGGATGGATCCATGCTTTTATGTTGTTTACGCCAAATTCTGACCCTACCATCTGAATGTCGCAGCTGAACCAGTCTGCCCATTCTCCTCTGACCTCTGGCATCAACAAAGCATTTTTGTCCACACAACTGCCACTCACTGGATATTTTCTCTTTTTCGGACCATTCTCTGTAAACCCTAGAGATGGTTGTGTGTGTGAAAATCCCAGCAGATCAGCAGTTTTGTAAATACTCAGACCAGCTCGTCTGGCATCAACAACCATGCCACGTTCAAAGTCACTTAAATCCCCTTCATTCCCCATTCTGATGCTCAGTTTGAACTTCAGCAAGTCGTCTTCACCACGTCTAGATGCCTAAATTGAGTTGCTGTCATGTGATTGGCTGATTAGCAATTTCTGTTACCAAGCCATTGAACAGGTGTACCTAATAAAATAGCCGGTGAGTGTATACTGGATTGTCAAAAAATAACTATTACTTATATTGCTGTTACAATGTGATGTAAAAACATGAAAGTGTATGCTGCGACCATAGATTTCCTTAAGACATTTGTATTTGGAAGAGATTTCATAGCTACCTTTTCCACTGTCTGTGTGTTTTGCTGTTTTTTTCCACTTATTTATATTGCTTTTACAGAGTCCTGTGTGGGAAGATGTTTGGAGGGTTTCAATGCCAAAACAAAATGCCAATGTGATGATTTATGTATTTACTACCAAAGTTGCTGCAGTGACTTCAGTGAGGTTTGCAAGAAGAAAGGTAAGTAAATAAGTTAGGAGGCATTACCAATTTCTTTTAGTATACTGTTAGAAAAGTCTCCAGAATACCTGCAGTATGTACAGAAAATAGGCAAACACAATTTGCTCCTTTACAGCAGTCTTCTTTCAGCTTAAAGATCAGTCTAAGGTTTTGTTTTTTTTTTATTAGAAATAATTGAGTACTGTCCATGATACTTTTTTTATTTGCACTAACATACAATTTTGAGGACAAGCTTTCGGGGAGTGTCCCCTTCTTCAAAGTGAGGAATCCCATGTCCAAATTAAGGCCGTTATCTCTTGTGTCAAATAGAATTATCATTCTGTGGCATTTAGTTCTTAAAGGAAATTTCAAATCCATGCAGGAAAGAAAAACTTTTGAACTAAGAATGAGAATTCTATTTGACACAAGAGATAACGGCCTGAATTTGGACATGGGATTCCTCAATCATTATCCAACAGTATTATGACTATTAGCTAGCTTGACTCCCTCTGTGTGAGTGCAGCATCCCCCCCCCCTCCCCCTCGGTTTGGCTGTATCTTATCTCTAGCCTCTCCATTTTTTTTTTCTTCATCTCTTCTAACATTCTGCTGAAACTTTGTGATTTGTACAGTACTGCTTGGACTTTGAAGAAGGGGACATACCCCAAAAGCTTGTCCTCAAAATTGTATGTTAGTGCAAATAAAAAAGTATCACGGACAGTACTCAATTGTTCCTGTCGCAAATGCACTGATACGGCTACAATCACCTCAAACAAAATGGAAGATTTTTTTTAATTGGAACAGTAATGCGGATAGGGATGGGTAGTATGGGATACCCTGGAATTTTAAAACTGTATAACTTGAGGACTGCTTTGCTTCTGACTGCTCTGTACAAAAATGCAGGCTGTATTGCACAACCTCTGACTACTATTGGTGGTCTTGTGCAACTCCTGGCTGTCTTGCACAACACCTGGCTGTACTGGGCAAACGTATGGTTGTATTGCACGCTCCTGGCTGTCTTGCACAACTCTTAGCTGTACAGGGCAAATGTCTGTTTGTATTGCATGCTCCTGGCTGTCTTGCATAAATCCTGGGTACAGGGCAAACGTCTGGTTGTATCGCATGCTCCTGGCTGTCTTATACAACTCTTAGCTGTACTGGGTAAAATTTCTGGTTGTATTGCATGCTCCTGGTTGTCTTGCACAACTCTTAGCTGTACTGGGCAAACTTCTGGTAGTATTGCACGCTCCTGGCTGACTTGCACAAATCCTGGCTGTACTGGGCAAACTTCTGGCAGTATTGCATGCTCCTAGCTGTCTTGCACAACTATTAGCTGTACTGGGAAAACTTCTGGTAGTATTGCATGCTCCTGGCTGTCTTACACAACTCCTGGCTGTACTGGGCAAATGTCTGGTTGTATTGCATGCTCCTGGCTGTCTTGCACAACTCCTGGTTGCACTGCACTTGCTTGGGAGGTCAACCACTCCACATTCACTCCTCCTCTGTATAGCAGAAACAATTGCTCAGTCCCAGAATGGTTGGGCTTCCTCCCACCAACTCCTTTCTGGCTCTGGTTCTGGCTCTGACTCTGGACAAAGCTCTCTTCAGTAGGCTTCCTAGCTAAGCCTAGCTGGGACATCAATAACTTCAAAGGCTCCTCTAGCTTCCTCTGCCCTGGGGGCAGATCCTCTAATACAGGGTTCTCCTCCTGAAGGACTGGTCCCAGGAACTCTCTCTGCTGCTCAGGTCTCAGCCTACTTATGAGCTCTCTCCTCCACTTTCTGGGCACAACTCATTGGCTGGAGTGCCATAAAAGCTGTAGACTCTGTCCTTCCTCCCACTATATTCCAGAAATCTCTAGAAGATGGGAGAAGTAGCAGAGCAGCAGCCAGTGAAACCCTGAGCAGCCCCAAGTAATCAACCCCTGCTCCACTGTTTACAGAGGAGCTGAACTAAATTTACCTAGCAGCCTATTGTAAATGATGAGGGTGCTACATTACTATATAGAGTATTTAAGCCAACCATCCAGAAAGTCTAATGGCTACATACTTCATTTGGGTCAGCAGGACAATGAGTTAGGATTATAGGCTGTCACATCATATCTGGATAACACCACAATACTAGATATCACAGATGACATCAGAATAAAGTGGTACCAAAAGAGATACTGTAACATGCATTCATATTTTGAGGTTAAATATCCAAAGGATCCTAAAATTATAATAAATCAACAATTTCTTAATATGTTACAGTCAGGTCCATAAATATTGGGACATCAACACAATTCTAACATTTTTGGCTCTATACACCACCACAATGGATTTGAAATTAAACAAACCAAGATGTGCTTTAACTGCAGACTCTCAGCTTTAATTTGAGGGTATTTACATCCAAATCAGGTAAACGTTGTAGGAATTACAACAGTTTGCATATGTGCCTCCCACTTGTTAAGGGACCAAAAGTAATGGGACAATTGGCTTCTCAGCTGTTCCATGGCCAGGTGTGTGTTATGCCCTCATTATCCCAATTATAATGAGCAGATAAAAGGTCCAGAGTTCATTTCAAGTGTGCTATTTGCATTTGGAATCTGTTGCTGTCAACTCTCAAGATGAGATCCAAAGAGCTGTCACTATCAGTGAAGCAAGCCACCATTAGGCTGAAAAAACAAAACAAACCCATCAGAGAGATAGCAAAAACATTAGGCGTGGCCAAAACAACTGTTTGGAACATTCTTAAAAAGAAGGAACGCACCAGTGAGCTCAGCAACACCAAAAGACCCGGAAGACCACGGAAAACAACTGTGGTGGATGACCGAAGAATTCTTTCCCTGGTGAAGAAAACACCCTTTACAACAGTTGGCCAGATCAAGAACACTCTCCAGGAGGTAGGTGTATGTGTGTCAAAGTCAACAATCAAGAGAAGACTTCACCAGAGTGAATACAGAGGGTTCACCACAAGATGTAAACCATTGGTGAGCCTCAAAAACAGGAAGGCCAGATTAGAGTTTGCTAAACGACATCTAAGAAAGCCTTCACAGTTCTGGAACAACATCCTAGGGACAGATGAGACCAAGATCAACTTGTACCAGAGTGTTGGGAAGAGAAGAGTATGGAGAAGGAAAGGAACTGCTCATGATCCTAAGCATACCATACCTCATCAGTGAAGCATGGTGGTGATAGTGTCATGGCGTGGGCATGTATGGCTGCCAATGGAACTGGTTCTCTTGTATTTATTGATGATGTGACTGCTGACAAAAGCAGCAGGATGAATTCTGAAGTGTTTTCGGGCAATATTATCTGCTCATATTCAGCCAAATGGTTCAGAACTTATTGGACGCCACTTCACAGTGCAGATGGACAATGACCCAAAGCATACTGCAAAAGCAACCAAAGAGTTTTTTAAGGGAAAGAAGTGGAATGTTATGCAATGGCCAAGTCAATCACCTGACCTGAATCCGATTGAGCATGCATTTCACTTGCTAAAGACAAAACTGAAGGGAAAATTCCCCAAGAACAAGCAGGAACTGAAGACAGTTGCAGTAGAGGCCTGGCAGAGCATCACCAGGGATGAAACCCAGCGTCTGGTGATGTCTATGCGTTCCAGACTTCAGGCTGTAATTGACTGCAAAGGATTTGCAACCAAGTATTAAAAAGTGAAAGTTTGATTTATGATTATTTATTCTGTCCCATTACTTTTGGTCCCTTAACAAGTGGGAGGCACATATGCAAACTTTTGTAATTCCTACACCGTTCACCTGATTTGGATGTAAATACCCTCAAATTAAAGCTGACAGTCTGCAGTTAAAGCACATCTTGTTTGTTTCATTTCAAATCCATTGTGGTGGTGTATAGAGCCAAAAATGTTAGAATTGTGTCGATGTCCCAATATTTATGGACCTGACTGAATATCTTTTTTGGCCATATAGTATCTGACCTCCTGTATGTCATCCGCAGATGGCAACACATAGAGTGATGTCTTTGTTGGAGAATCTACAAAGAATGACTTCAACTTTAAAGTGGAAGAAAAGTCTAACTATAATTATTCCTAACAATGACCCCCACACACACACTCCACATATCCATTCTGTACTGGTCATGTGATCCTGCCGCTCTGGCTTTCTCTGTGTAAGGTAAATTTGTGGAGCCATGTTATGAATCAAAGGCTGTCATAGCCCAGCCATTATTGGCACTCCCTCTTCTCCCATGGCGCAGCCACTCACTGACATAGGGGAGCCAGAGCTGCAGGATCACAGGATCGGACCGGAGAAGTTCAGAAACTGGTAAGTCCACAGAACTTTTTTTCACAGTGTAGGCAGGATGGATAGGATGAGGGGTGAAAGGCTTAATAGTTAACTGACTTTACTTTGTGCCTACTAACTGGTTTATTTTATATTATAAATTTATATTTTATAATGGGTGGTTTGATAATAAGGGGAGAAGGAACATTTTAAGAATAATTATACCTGCAGTGAGGCCTTTCTCTACCTTAACTAATTATATCACTCTCTTAGGTTACATCATTGAAATAGTGAAAAAACATTAGAATGACATCTAAAAATACATTTTTTGCATGTAATCTAAATAATTTAAATGGCATTCCACTGTCAGAGACCAATGTTAAAATAAAAAGATGTCATAGTGACAACAAAACATGAATGTGAATTATTTCACAGGATATATTAAAAATATAAAACAGAAAATATGTGATAAATATATTTTATTTGGAGCCTAAATTCCCTTTTATGCATGGAAGTATTTGTGGTAAATGATGCCTTGGATGTATGTGTATAACAGTTTTATATTGATTTTTATTCGTGTGATTTGCTTATTAATTCTTTACATCAGACACCCGAGGAGATGTGTTTAACTTCCCTGAAGATGAATATGACAACTTTAATGATAGCACAGACCCAGATCCCCTAATCCAAGTAACAACGCCAATAGTTAACCCTGGGGAAACGGAAACTGTGACTGAGAGACCAACAGAACAGACAATATTGGTGGATCCTGTAACTGAAGACATCTCTGAGGATCTGTGCAGTGGCAAACCATTTGATGCCTTTACAAACTTCAAAAATGGCTCTATTTTATGCTTTCCGAGGTATGAAAACACATAAAACAACGTTGTACCTATGGAGGGAAGGGAGGGAAGAAGCCTGTATGTCTCTTACCTATTCCTTTCACCATTTCTTGAAGCTTAATATAAGATGGTTGGAGTACATGTGTGCTGTCGCAAACGTGCGCAACACACAGTGAAGGACGCAGACTCCATTTTGTTAAGAGTATCCATTTCTCCCTTATTCTCCCTCCCCCTCCCTTCCTGAGAGGCCCAGCGACATGTGGCCAGTATGTGTGTGAGTTAGGAATGTCACAGGAGGGTCATAGGAGCTGTAAAAGCCCCCAAGAGAGTTGGAGTCTCTGTCCACAGAACCTGCCAATTGTAACACCTCCTAAGAGATAAGGCAAGCTTTCTCAGGAGTTGAAAGAGATTCTAACCTCATAAAACCTAACTCTGTGTAGGTGACAGAATCAGATAACTTCTGGTAAATCCATTTTTCCCCTATGTTTTTCATATATTGGAATATGAGAGATGTACATAAAAACCAGACACCTCGTCAGATGGCCAATGAGCAGACGAACAGTTTGATGGGTCAATTGCCTTGTCTCGGACACTCAGGGAAGCAGAAACATAGATCTTGTGAACCGTGCAGTATATTATTTCATAATTCATATCTAATTAATCCTTAGACTTGTCTGCATAATAATCTACCCACGGGTGGAATGTCCCTTGTGCAGATGGACAGTTATGGGCCAAAATATGAGTTATGGATGATTTTTGCTCTAGTTGAGGCATCCGCCCATAACTACACGCCCTAAACGGGTTATTGGGCCTTGACTTAAGAGACACCCCCTGCTGGGGACTACAAAATAGGCTCACAGACCTAAGAGCAAGAAGTTGAAGACGTCTTCCATTTTTAACATCAATACCACCTGGGAAGACCCCTGCCTTTTGCTCTGAAACTTGATCTGCTTACATCCAAGGCTTAATGGCAAGTACCTTAACCCTTTAACCTTTCTCTGTTATCTCTTTGCTGTGCTGTTATGCTCTGCATATGTATATATAATATCTTAGTTACATCTTTTTCTGTAAATATTTTTATTGCACCCATTTGACCTTTTAGTAATAAATCTTTCATTCTGAAAGTCTTGAATTGTTTCTATAGCTCTGTATTGCAATTTACAAATCCCTGCCTCTAAAGAGAACGCTACTGTGTTTGTTTTTTAAACCTCTGTATAACCGGCCTGCAGACTATTTTATACAGACAAGTATCTCAATCATTATAGTGTTATAGCTGATAACGCCGAGTTTCCTCTTTCTCTGTACAAAAAGGAGGTGGTGGCAGTGTGAAGGGTTAATTGCGTAATTAACCTGACCCAGTAACAATCGCCCAGGCTGCCGGTACATCGATTGTGGTCCGTTAGCTGGAAAATCATTGTACTGGGTGCAGCTGGGCGTGGCTTTGTTACGCACGTCACATCGCGGTTTTAGATCGGCTAGCCCTTTGGTCACGAGTTTGGGTGAGAAGAACTGGGGTCTGAAGCCGCGATCGTGACAGGTGCCTCTGTGCCGTCTATATAAGGTCAGACAGGTGGGGAAGAACTGCGCTTGTGGCATAGGAAGGGACTACCGATAATTACATTGCAGTGAATGCTCCCAGAAGGAAATATAGAGCATGAAGGCCATAGTAGATAGACATAAAGAAACAAATACTGTAGATGAGTGTGCACTGAAATACATCTCCAATTCTTCAATACCTTCCTCAGGTAAATACTTTTATGAACTTGATGATAAAAAAGCACTCGATGGCTATCCAAAGCTCATCAAGGAAGTGTGGGGTATAGAGGGTCCAATAGATGCTGCCTTCACTCGTATGAACTGCCAGGGAAAGACCTACATTTTTAAGGTAAGAACAATTAGTATACTACCTAAACCAGAGGTTCTCAACCATTTTTTTGCCAAGGTAATCCCTATTGGGTGATCTCTCAGCTATAAGAAACATAAAGCTTTCATTGCATAACTTGAATACTTGGGGCAGCACTTTTCTAATATTCAGGCAATGAACTCGCTGTATAAAATCACTAGCAGTCATAGTTTGCTGTACCCTACATTAAAAGGTTGCCTGAAAAGCCATGTATTTAAGGCACTAGCTTTCACAAAATTGACAATTTGCATAATTGACTGAAATATGTTTTTTTAGTTCTGATGGCATGGTTTTTACAGCCAGGCTTTCTTTACAAGCCGCTGACTTGTGACTTGTGGGCACTAGACTTCAATCTTGTGATCATTTCAGAAATTAGACCCCTCATTGTCTAGGCACCGTCAGATTAGGGGTAGATTCACATCTGTGAATGCACCCTGCTGGCGATGACATGCAAGAACCCCACCAGAGGTTCCTGCAATTAGCTGTGAATAGGCAGCTCCATTGAAAACAAAGGGAGGCTGCTGGCTCTCGCAGCTGCAGTAATCGCGCCCACTCTCATGTAATCACTCATGCTGCAATTGCATGCGAGTGATCAGCCCTGGATGCATGCAGTCTGTGTCTTTGCAGTCTTCACAGGCATTCATGCACCCTACATGTCAATGCTTCTAGTCCAGATCATAAGTAGAGAAAGCACTGTCTGTGTTTTCAATGATGTCTGCTCCAGCAGGTTTTTTTTTTCAGCACATCACAGATTAAAATGTCTTTAGACATTTCACCATTATACAGCTAATGCAAAAACTAGACAACTGACATCAGTGCTCTCATCAAGCTGCAAAACTAAATAAATAGATCATTTGGGTGGGTTTGGGAGTAATATGAATAAGAACCCCAGTTGAGCCCCAGGTTAAGAAGTGGAAAATGGTGCAAAATGTATGTAGGAGGACCCCAAAATATGGCTGTCAGGAGGGGACTTACTATGGAGAGCTCTGATGACCCTACAGTGAAAAGAATAAAAGAGTAAAAAAGAAAGGAATAGTGGGCAGGGGTCCTAGTTTGTAATAGGTAAACTAGGAAGGTTTGGAAAGTAGTTGAAGTGGGGAAGACTGGAGAGGGAAAGAAAAGCCTGCCAGAGAACCCCCAATGTATAGGGCCACCATTATATTTTTTTATTAGACAAACGTAAGAAGTAGTCTAGGTTCAGGTTATGGTTATATTCATACAAGGGGGACCATAGTTTGAGAAATTTGGAATAAGAATCGTTCGATATGGAGTTGAGTTTCTTTTTTAATTCATGGCATCCATCAACCTCTGCTTCACTTCCATAAAGCTCTGAGCAAGCTTTGGCTGTGGTGTGAGCAGAAGTCTAATCATCAGAGAAGAGCACAGCTAGAGAACTGACCATGCTTTGCTCTCATGTCTAGTGTGGTCGGTTTTTAATAGGAAAGCAGAGGGACTGGAAGAAACACCAGGGATTTCAAACAAAGGAAGCAATACATAGAGAACAGGATACTTTTTCATACAAGTGCATGGTACAGCAGGCACATATCAGGAATATGAAATGTTGGGTTAACATACTCTTTAAATCATGAAGCTAGATTACTGTGGGGCCAAGACCAAAACCTTTTTAATGTATCAATCCTTCAGTTGGCTTTATTCCTACATACAGTAGGAATCCCACCCATTCAAACATAACACATATAAATTAGAACTAAAGGCAAAAACTAAAAGCAAAACATTTTTTGTTCATTTTGGATAGACTACGGGGGGGGGGGGGGGGGGGGGGGGGGGGGGGGGTTAACCAGTGGAGTATTTAGGTCTTTTGCTGCCCTAGGCAACACAAAAAATTGTGCTCCCCCCACGAGAGAACGAGAGAGAGTTCAATGAGTGTGTGTGTATATATATGATTCTCTCTCTCTTTTCTCTCTCCTCTCTCTCTCTTCAGTCTCTCTTTCCCCTCCCTCCCTCCCTCTCTCTCTCTCCTCTCTCCCTTCTGTCTCTCTTCCCTCTCTCTCTTTTCTCTCTCTCTTCAGTATCTTCCCTCTCTCTCTCCTTCCATCTCTCCCCCCCCCCCCCCCCCCCTCTCTCTTCTCCCTACTCTCCCTCTCCCCTCTCCCCCTCTTCCCCTCTTCCTCTCTCTCTCTTCCCTCTCTCTTACCCCCCCCCCCCCCCCCAATGAGAGAGCGAGAGAGTTCAATGAGTGTGTGTGTATATATATATGATTCTCTCTCCCTCTCTCTTTTCTCTCTCTCTCTCTCTTCCCTCTCCCTCTCTCTTTATCTTCTCTCTTTCTCCCTCCCCCCCCTCTCTCTTTCTCTCTTCCCTCTCCCCTCTCTTTTCTCTCTCCCTTCCCTCCTCCCCCCTCTCTCTCTCCCACCCCCTCCCCCCTCTCTCCCTCTCTTTCTCTTTCCTTCCCTCTCCCTCTTTTCCCCCTCAATCTCTCTCTTCCCTCTCTCTTCCCTTCCCACTCTCTCTCTCTCTTCCCTCTCTTCTTCTCTCTCTTCCCCTCTCTCTCTCTCTCTCTCTCTTCCCTCTCTCTCTCTCTATGTTGTTCCCTCTCTCTTTTATCTCTCCCCTCTTTCTCCTTTCCCCCTCTCCCTCTTTTTTCCCTCTCTTCTCCATCTCTCTTCCCTCTCTCTTCTCTATCCCTCTCTCTTCTCTCCCCCCCCTCCCCCTTTCTCTTTCTCTCTCTTCCCTCTCTCTTCCCCCCCGATGAGAGAGCAAGAGAGTTCAATGTGTGTGTGTGTGTATATATGATTCTCTCTCTCTTCCCTATCTCCCTCTCTCTTCCCTCTCTTTCTCTCTTCCCTCTCTTCCCTCTCTCTTTTCTCCCTCTCTCTCTCTCTCTCTCTCTCTCTCTTCTCCTCCCTCTTTCTCTTCTCTCTCTCCCCTCTCTCTCTTTCTCTCTTCCCTCTCCCTCTCTTTCCTCTCTCTTTTCCCCCTCTCTCCCACCTCTCTCTTTTCTCTCTCTCTCTCTCTCTCCCCCTCTCTCTTTCTCTTCCCTCTCTCTCTCTCTTCCCTCTCTATCTCTCTTCCCTCTCTCTCTTCCCTCTCTCTTCTCTCTCCCTCTTTATCTTTCATCTCTCTTCTCTCTCTCCCCTCTCTCTTTCTCTCTCTCTTCTCTCTCTCTTCCCTCTCCCCCCTGCCCCGAGAGAGAGCGAGAGAGCTCAGCGTGTGTATAGGATCTCTCTCTCTCTCTCTCTTTCCTCCCACTTTCTCCCTCCCCCCCCTCTCCCTCTTATACTCTCTCTTCTCCATCTCTCTTCCCTCTCTCTTCTCTATCCCTCTCTCTTCTCTCTCCCTCTCTCCCCCTCCCCCTTTCTCTTTCTCTCTCTCTTCCCTCTCCCCCCCCCCCTTAATGAGAGAGCGAGAGAGTTTCAATGTGTGTGTGTGTATATATGATTTCTCTCTCTCTTCCCTATCTCCCTCTCTCTTCCCTCTTTCTTTCTCTCTTCCCTCTCCCTCTCTTCCCTCTCTCTTTTCTCCCTCTCTCTCTTCCTCCCTCTTTATCTCTTCTCTCTCTCTCCCCCTCTCTCTTTCTCTCTTCCCTCTCCCCTCTCTTCCCTCTCTCTTTTCTCTCCCTCTCTCTCTCTCTCTCTTCCTCCCTCTTTCTCTCTTCTCTCTCTCCCCCTCTCTCTTTCTCTCTTCCCTCTCCCTCTCTTTCCTCTCTATTTTCCCCCTCTCTCTCCCCCCTCTCTCTTTCTCTTCTCTCTCTCCCCCCCCTCTCTCTTTCTCTTCCCTCTCTCTCTCTCTTCCCTCTCTATCTCTCTTTCCCTCTCTCGCCCCGCTTTCCCTCTCTCTTCTCTCTCCCTCTTTATCTTCCATCTCTCTTCTCTCTCTCCCCTCTCTCTCTTCTCTCTCTCTTCCCTCTCTCTCTCTTCCCTCTCTCTTCTCCCCCCCTCGAGAGAGCGTGAGAGCTCAGTGTATGTATAGGATTCTCTCTCTCTTTCCTCCCTCTTTGTCCCTCCCCCTCTCCCTCTTTTTCTCTCTCTTCTCCATCTCTCTTCCCTCTAACCCTTCTCTTTCTTTTCCCTCTCTCTTCTCTCTTCTCTCTTCTCCCCATCTCTTTGTCTCTCCCTCTCTTCCCTTTCTCTCCCCCCCCCCCAATGAGAGAGCAAGAGAGTTCAATGAGTGTGTGTTGTGTGTATGATTCTCTCTCTCTTCCCTCTCTCTTTCTCTCTCTTCCCTCTCCCTTTCTTCTCCCCCTCTCTCTTTTTCTCCTCTCTCTCTCTTTTCTTCTTCTCTCTCTATCTCTCTTCCATATCTCTCTTTTTTTCCCTCTCTCTATTCCCTCTCTCTTCTCTTTTTCCTCTCTCTTCCCTCTCTATTCTCTCTCTTCCCTTTTTCTTTCACACTTTCTTTCTTTCTTTTTTTCTTTCTTTCTTTCTTTCTTTCTTTCTTTTCTTTCTTTTCTTTCTTTCTTTCTTTCTTTCTTTCTTTCTTTCTCTCCTCTCTCTCCCTTTCCCTCTCTCCCCTCTCTTTTTGTCTCTTTCTCTCTTCCCTTCTCCTTCTCCCCCCCAGTGAGAGAGCAAAAAAGTTCAGTGAGTGTGTATGTATGATTCTCTCTCTCTCTTCCCCTCTTCCCTCTCTCTCTTCTCTCTCTTCCCACTCCTCCCCCCCCCCTCAACGAGAGAGTGGGAGAGTTCAATGAGCGTGTGTATATGATTCTCTCTCTCTTCCCTCTTTCTATCTTCCCTCTTTCTCTCTCTCTCTGTATTCCCTCTTCTTCCCTCACTCTCTATTCTCCCCCCCTCTCTCTTTCTCTCTCTCCCTCTATCTTTCCATCTCTCTCTTCCCTTCCCTCCCCCATGAGAGAGCAAGAGAGTTCAGTGAGTGTTGTGTGTATATGAATTCTCTCTCTCTTCCCCCCTCTTCCTTCTATCTTCTCTCCCCCCCCAATGAGAGAGCTAGAGAGAGTTTAATGAGTGTGTGTGTGTATATGATTCTCTCCCTCTCTTTTTCTCTCATCCTCCCTCTCTCTCGTC